GTGGTGTTTAAAATGAATTTAACTTTGTTTGATTGATAACACGTCTCCACAAGTATAGACTAAGTTTTATTTTATTAGTTTTCATAATGAATATTTGGGATACAAACCGTAGAGAATTAAAGGGGTTGTAAGAACATCCGTAGATTCTAAATCACTTCTTTAACTTAATTCAATTCAAGCTGCGTACAAAGTCTCCTTTTTCTAGCAATTAACATAAAAATGCAAAACAAGTACAATAACGATTTAGGTAAACTGGGGCTATCGCCCCACGCCATTATAGACTGCATGTTAATAACATCCGGTATGTACCTCAACAACCGGAACTACACTAGCCTTTTGTAATAAATAGTATGATGCAGGTAAATCATTTTATTTACCGCCCTCTTGTCGTCCGAGCCACCGGAATTGACCAAATTCAGCGTATAGCTCGCCGTTCGCAATCCCGCCGAAAATCTCTCGACAGAGATATCTCGCACACTTTGAAATTAAATTCCTACGGTTCACGGCATCTAAAAACTAACGCCACGGTTGCTGGCTTCCGGTCAATCAATGAATGTATCCGTCGTTTACCGTACCGGACATGGCGCGTGACAATCTGTCCATACAATTCAAAATTATATACAGTAAAGTAAGTAAATATTGCAGGATCGGATCGTAGTTTACCTCTTCTACCTTACGCATTATTAATTTTCGCTTCCTGTGTTGGTGAAGCATCCTCCAGGTCTCATTAAGTATTGATGTCCTGATGATTTCCTACAACAACACTCTCAATGAATTAATTTTAGTTGTAGAAAAAAATCGATAGAGCTAATCCAATTAACAAGGCAATTAGCGCTCTACCGTCTGCGTACCGGGTGTCCTATCTTGGTTGAGACTGCAGTTTTTAAAGACAGAGACTTGTGGTTTTCGGAACCTGTGCCACTTTTTTGGTGAACCTTTAACACCACAAACACAATGAAACTAGCTATGTTTGTTTCTGAGTTACAAGGTGACTTTTTGGATTGTTATCATATCTTACTACCCATCCATGTAAGATAGCAAAAAGGTAAAAGCGGCATATTTTACGTAGGATCCAGTGGCGTAGTCTTCTTACAATTTATACTTATAGGGGTCGAATTCAAATTCTACAGATCTTATGATTCGATGGATGTTTGGTAAAACTCTTCAAATACGTAAAATCCATCAGGAAGATTCTTCCCACTTCTCATTCCCGTGTTATTAGATTCTTCATGTCCTTCCGTTTCTTCGATTGATTTGATTTTTCCAATTCCCCGTACTATTTAGATTCCACGTTAGCTGTAGATCTCTCGGATTTTAATAATTTCTCCATTTCTTTGGATTCTTTGCATTGTTGCGAATATCCTCCTTGTGTTCTGCAGGTACTTCGGATTTCTCGTTTTCCTCGAATTCTTCTGATTCTTCAAATTCTTCAATAATTTTTTGAATGCTTTATATTCTTCAGGTTTTACTACGATCTTTCACGGATTTCGTTACATTTATCATCGGTTGAAGACCTCTCTTGCAGAAAATAAAATTGGCCCTCTACGGCACTGGCAAAAATTTTCATATGAAAATCAATTTTTATGGTTCCCACGGTTCGGTAATAAAAATGTTTTTTATACCACTTACCTTGCGGATGTTTGGCCTCTTATCTCCTTCCAACATTTACAATTCAAAATCTAATGCTCTGATTTGATTGTACTATAATAAATACGCATGATCACATGTCCTTTTATCTTTATCTTTACCACATTAAATGGTAATTATATGGTATTACTAAATTTAAATGCAATAATGAAACAAAATATCCAAATTCCTTTGATTCGATGGATCCTTATCAATAAATGAACTACAAATCTGTTCACGCAAAAACTCTCATGGGCCGATTCCTTCAGGAATTTGATTTAAATTACTTCAAATAATTTTTTTTTAATTTGTTTTTATTTTTGCCTTTTTATTTTTGAGTGAGCGGGGTTTCAGCCAAGGCTGCTCTACAAACCCAACCCACTATACATTTACAAACATCCATGCCCGAACGCAGATTCGAACGAGGGACCTTTAGTACCGCAGTCCAGCTTCAACTGAACTGCACCACACGGGACGACTTTTTTAGTACGCAAAATTTCTGCAAATAACTGGCCACTACCTTTTGTATATCATGAGGTTCCTTTCCTAATTAGTCTTATCCCTCGCGTTGTTGTTGCTTTTAACCATTTATCCATGTTTCGTGCGAAGCGGTATGTTGACCAACATACGAATTTGAAAGAAAAAAAATACTTTTTTTGGAAACGGCTGAAGCGCCCACCCATTACAAAACTTGTTTGGATTCGTTCACCAAAAAATGTGCTATTGTTTGCGTTTTGTCCAGCCGTCCGGACCCTCTGCCGTTTTGAACTACTTTTAGGGGAATGGTCCTAGAGTAATGGAATGTTTTGCAATAGGTAACTTATGCTTTAAAGATGTGCCAGACGGCCGTCAAATTTCGCTGTATTTAAGGGGAGAGGGGGCTCCTTAATGAACTATTTCCTGAGATGTTGTTTTTGAAAGTGCATAACTTTTACATGATATAACTAATTGGTCTTAGATTTTGCATACACATGCCTTTAGTTTTTCCCCCCTCTTTAGCTGTGCCCCCTCCCCCCCAATAAGAGGGGGGTAAAAACACTCGTTCTGTCCTTCATGGTATTCTAATGAAAGGTTTCAACGAAAGGAATTAATTTCTACCAATCATAGTCTTCCCTCTCGACCCCTTATTGTAAGCGGATATAATTCCTTATATCTCAAGAGCGGGTTGTTGGAGAAGATTACTTACAAAGAGCAATTATGTCCGTATGGTAGAAATATACCCATTAGTGATGTCAAAACTTGCAGCGCGAATATCTCGAGAAACAAAGGGCTATTGAAACATCTGCAGAAGGCATATCAAATGATAGGGTCAAAGTGCGAATATCTCGAGAACAGCGTCGGAAGATGTTACTCACAAAGAGCGATTTGGGCGCAGGAGTGTTAAAAATGTGCTTTATCTGCACAAGTGTTGTGCATAAATTGTACTTGTTTTTAATATTCACGACCTTTAAACCCTTTCTGTGTTATAGGTACTTCCAATGTTTCAAATCCTTCCGCCTAATCGAATCTTTAGAGTGTTTGAATTTTGTTGCGTTTTGATCTACCAACTTAACAACAAAAAGTAGTATGACACAAAGACTACAAAATCTAGTTTTTGGGCGACCAGTCAATCTGTTTTATCGCTTTTCCGATGAAATTTGTGAATAATAAAAAACGTTGTCCAAAACTGGGCATCATCCCAAAGTGGTTACGGAAAAAACCTTTCTAGGACTTTGCAGTTCCGAGATCTCGTCCTTCATACGGACTGACGTTAAGTTTTTTGAAAAATGTGCTAAAGGGTACCCCTAAATTCCGGTAAGGATTCTAACGATTCGTACTAAACCTGTCGTACTTTGAGGAGACTTTAAAACGTGGAAGCAAGTACTTAAATCTAAACAATTATTGACCTAAACTCCATGAAGGGAGGGCCTTACTTGACTTGACCTGTCGTATTTTGGGGCTGTAGAAATACGGGATGAAAATATTTCATTGTAAAGGACATCACCAACGCACTTTGACCCTTAGATCTATTGTGCGTATCCCAGTGTCTTACTCCGAGAAAGGCAGTTTGTGAAAAAATCTGAGGATCCTCAGCGGACACCCTGATCTGTTGAGGTGCTATTGTTACCTCACCCAGGTCTTGTTATCTCTGTCTGGAGACACCCTTACACCAGCAGAGGATGTGTTCCTCCTCGAACCAGAGGCGACATGTGCTATCTCGATTTTGTTGAGATGTCTTAAAGGGCAGTGTTCAGTGACCAGGCCTATGCATGAGCATTAGCATGTTCACTTCTGCTGAGTGCTAGCAACGAGTTGGTTTTAGTTTCCTGGAAAGTGATCATTTTGTTCGATTGTCAGTCCAGGAGCAGATTCCCATAGACGTCTTCACTCTTTTCTGAGCTGGTTTCTTATCACTTCTCCAGCTAGACGTGCCGGTGCTCCACAGTAGTGCTCCGGTTCAACTTGGGGTGTCTGCATTAACGAGTCGATCAGCCTTCTCGTTTCCGGCTATCCTTCCATACCTTGAAATCCACACTACTGTAACACAATTACGCCTGGCTATTTCTTGCAGTTCTGTGTGCGAATCTGTGAACACCTTAGAGCTCAGGGAGAAGGCTGCTAGAGCCTTTAGAATTGCTTCACTGTCTGAGCGATTCTTTGTCCAGCATGCTTTTCTCAATGTTAGAGATGAAGCTATGAAGGGCAGTCTCCCTAGAGAGTTTCTTTTGATGGTAGATTTTATGAGATCTTGAAAAATCGAAACAAATAAAACTAAAAAAAATACAATAGTTGACCCGTCGTATCTTGGGTCTATGGCAGGAAGGAACAAAAATATTATCGCATCATTCTTTGGGAACACTTTCTAGCGACCATTGATTTACAGGTGTATGTATTTTTGCAATGAGCAATAACATTTCTGGCCCAAGACATGACCTTGTCTTTTCTTATTTACATTCCATTGGTACCTACACTTGTAACAAGCACGAAGCAAAGTATTTTTTAGTGACACATATAAGATGACCTTTTAATTTCTTGTAGTAGGTACAACAAAATTCCATCGCGGCAACGTTTCTGAAAAATTAATAAATATGACACTTTAACTTGTTAGTCTCAAATGCAAAAAAACGGTATAAGGAAATAGTGTCAAGTGCATGCTCAAGGTTAGAACCTTGGGGAATGTCAAACGGGAAAATCCTTATAGTCCACAAATTTCAGGTCAAGTTCAGGGTATAGCAATGATGTTGTACAATATTGAAGAAGAAATGCTTTTTTGAGTACTATATCCCATATAGATTAGAGTCAACCTTTAACATTTATTTCTAATTATCTACTCTTAACTGTAAACAAACTGCTGATTGTGGCAATTACTGGGAAACATTAATGAATTTGTATAAACGTGGCATCCAGTGTAAATACCAACCGCAGATTACGTATGTCTATGTGGATGACGTCTGGGATTAGTCTTAGACCGTTCGTTTAGTGTCGCAGTGAGGTTGTTGTAGAGGACATGAAGGCTCTGCTTCTTTTGGCACTGTGTGCCACAATTATTTCGATACAATGTACTATATTTCGCCTGCCAGCAAGCGTAAAACCGTTACGTTACACGGTTACAATCGAACCGAATATGTCGTACATAGGATGGCAACGGTCTTCATACTGGGGAGCCGTTGCAATCGAGCTGGAAGTTTTAGAAAACACCGACAACGTCACTCTGCATGCAAGTGAAATTGACATAGATGACACCAGCATTAGAGTGACAAGCAATGGACGTGCTGTTAAAGTCAAAAACGCCTTGAAAGTGAAACAAGATCAAGTTTACGTCATCGAGCTGGAAGAGACGCTTCTAAAAAACAAATTCTATAACGTATCCATTGGGAAATTTCAGGCGTACATGAGCTCCAACAGCAGAGGATTGTATAAGGCTCATTACTCCCACAATGGCGAAGAAAGGTGCTGTGGTAAAAATATCGTTGAGACACTAATCTTTAAATTGCAGAGTGGTGGCTGTAACCCACTTCGAGCCCACATGGGCGAGATACGCGTTTCCTTGTTTCGATGAGCCCCACCTGAAAGCCAAGTTCGCCATTAACTTAATCAGAGGCAATGAGTACAACTCCATCGCTAACGAAGCCCTTCAAACCACCAAGTAATCGCTCTGGGATTTTCAAACCGACTAACGTTTCCCCCGCAGGTCTCTAGGTGCGAATAGGTACATGGACGTCTTCAAAGAAACGCCCCCAATGCCAACCTACGCAGTCGCATTTGCCGTATCCGATTTTCCGTCCACGCGTAAAGTCGAAAGGCACCGCATCCTCGCCCGGCCTGACGCTTTCGACGAACTGGAGTACCCCCTGATGACATCGGTTAAAGCCTTGCGAATTCTCGAGGAGTATATCGGCGTCAATTTCACTTTGAGCAAGATGGATACGTTCGCGGTGCCCCCGGGATACTTCCGACATTTCGCCATGGAGAACTGGGGCCTGATCACATTCCAGTAATCAAAAACGACGAAAACGCGTCATCTAACCGCATTTTTCTAGGGAAGATCAATTAAGGTGTTCGAATAAGACGAATCCCATTACTTTGACTACCATCACCAGTTACATAGCGCACGAATTTGCACATCAATGGTTTGGTAACTTGGTCACGCCCGCTTTGTGGGATTACATATGGCTTAGTGAATCGTTTTCGGCTTATTTTCAATATTATATCGCTGCAAAGGTTCAACCCATGTGGAGGATAATGGAGCAGTTCGTTGTAACCGTAGTCCAGGGTAGTTTCTATGACGAACAACATCAAGGAGCGCATCCACTAAACTTTCGTATCAGTCGCTATGGACAGTTTCCTCCGTTCCACATAATGTACCAGAAAGGTAAGCGATGGACAGCACGTGGCTACTTTCAATCCGTTCAACTCTAGGAAGTTCAATCGTGCGGATGATGTCTCATTTCTTAACCGATGAGGTGTTTAGAAAGGCGCTTCACAGCTACATCGTCGAAAAGTAGGTAGTGTTCCGGGTAGTACGACGTTTGACCAGTTTTCCCATTTAGGCAGTTTACCAGCGTTGTCCCTGATGATTTGTATAGAAGTGTACAGAAAACCATTGCCGAGGAAGGGATCGAACACTTGCTGGGTGGGATGCGCTTTGACGAAGTGATGCAAACTTGGGATTCGTACAAAGGCTACCCCATTGTAACCGTTACGAGGAACTACAGCAGTGGAGACATAAATATTACTCAGGTAAAATAAGACCGTGCGATTCCGTTTCTCATCTCCCTTTAGAGATCGAGAACCTTTGGCGATGAGCAAGTTTGGAAAATTCCAATCAACTACGTTGTCTCTAGCAAAGGGGTTGATTTTTCAAAGACGACAGCCGATGTATGGTTGATTAATGCAACAATGGCCCTTCGGAATATGTCCAGGGACGGATGGGTTATTGTCAACAAGCAGCAATTTGGTACACAAGCCCATTTGTGTCATCAATCACATTTGCACTTTTAGGATACTATCGCGTGAACTACGATTTGGAAAATTGGGAACGTTTAATACAGGTGTTGAAGAGCGACAAATTTGGAACGATTCACGTATTGAACAGGGCCCAGTTAATCAATGACGCTTTCTATTTCGCATCCATCGAAGAAATACCGATAGACATACCCTATAGGTTAGCCGAATATTTGGTGAGGGAGAAGGACTATATTCCGTTCGCCGCTTTCTACACCACCCTGTCGAACTATGGGTCCATATACTTCGGCAACACAAAAGCGACAGAAAAGCAGTACTTCCTCAACCATCCTTTGAGTAACAGCATAAAGGACGAAGAAGAAGAAGGCGGTTACAGTAGGGACTACTTAATTTTTAAGGTAGGTTAGACTGGACCGATCGAACTTGTTTTCATCGACTTATCCCTCAGGAATACATAAGAACAATTTTGGCTAACATAAGGGCCGATATAGGAACAGAGGAAAGGCCTACGGACACTTACGAACAGAAAGTGCTTCGAACCGAACTCGATAGATACTTTCCTTATTATTTTGAGTAAATGATTGCATACGACTGTGTGTCAATTACAACATGGTATATGACATAAGCTAACTACTAAATAAATTTTGTACTTTTTCAATCCGCCTTGCAGTATAACAATAAACAAAATCTGTTTTCGTGAATTATTGCTATAACGTGCATTTTCAGAGAAATTAAGTTATTGAAAAGAACTGCAAGGGGAATCCAAACAATTCGAGATTTTCAAGATTCTTGGCCATTTACAGGAGATTACGGGAAGGATATTGTACGAAAATTGGAAAAAAGTTACAGGAACACTCCAAGCTTTTATGTTATGTTAATTATATACCTTAGAGGTATATTACAAGAATTTCTAGAGGATCCTAAGAAGATTGCAAGAGGACATAATCCAGAAGTGGGCAAGAATGTTAACAAAATTCGAAAAATATTACATCAAGAGAAGGTTGTAGACAATGTATGAGAATTTTCCAAACGTTCAAAAATAATTTTAAGGGAATCGCAGGATAGCAGAAAAGGACCCAAAGAAAAGTCAAAGAAGATTTCAACAAAATTCTAAATGATTCAACTAAGATTGTAAGTGGTTACACGAACACCGCAAGGGAGATTGTGGAGATTTCGGCGATTTCAAAAAGGTCACGGGATATTAGAAGAAGATTACAAAATGGTTACTTACCTTACCAGAATATTCCGACCAGGTTTTAGTAAAAGGTCCAAGGAAGCTTCAAAAATATTTCAAGAAAATCCAAGGAAATTTCAAGCAGATTATTAGATTCCAGATGGTTCAAAGGGGAGTATAAAAAGAAATAAGAACACGCAAAAGGTTACCTGCAGGTCATAAAAATTTAGTAAATCATTTCAGATGATTCCAAGAAGCTTATAACATGGTAACAATAGGCAAGGAGATTTTAACCAAATAATTACAAAAAAAGAGGGTTTAACCAATCCTCTAAGAAAATTCGTGGAAGGTTTCAAGACGCTATCAAATTAAGGTTTGATGTGTTACTGGGAAGAAAGAGCACAACAAGATTTCAAAGATTCATACCTCTGGAACTGAAATATTCGAAAGTGATCATTGGATATTCTCTTTGTAACCAATTTACCAAAAAATCTCTAAAAAAAGATTTAAAGAAAACCTTTTATAAAACAATTCAAGAGCATGTGAAATACAAGGCACAACGAAGATTATGAAATTTCTGGAACACAAATCGCGTAAAGATCTTCGACATCTTAAAATGGTACATCAAGAGATAAAGAGTGCAACAAAGAAGGAGAAGTGTTACTGGAATTACTAACAAGTATAAATTGTGCATATATACCCGATCACGATAAGAGGTCGGGGAGGAGGGGTATGATTGGTAGAAATTAATTCCTATCATTGAGACCTTTCATTAGAGTACCCTGAAGGATAAAACTAGTTCCACCCCCCCCCCCCCCAGGCCCCGTCGCTCACTGATCTAGTAAAAGAGAAAGTTATAGTTTGTACAAACCAATTTATTTCGATGAGGCCTTTCATTAGAATACCATGAAGGGTAGAAATGTGTTAACCCCCCCCCCCATTTTCTAAAATTTAACTTGGCACCATTAAAGGCATTCGTATGCAAAATTTGATACCAATTGGTTGTCGTATGTAAAAGTTATGCACATTTTACTTTCAAAAACAGCATCTCAGGAAATAATTCGTGGGGGGGGGGCTTTTACACAGCGAAATTTAATGGCCGTCTGGCACACCTTCAAGATATAGGCTACCTACTGCAAAAAAATCGAGGACTCTAGGACCATTCCCCTAGAAGTAGTTCAAAACGGCAGAAGTGGGTCCGGACAGACAAAACGCAAACAATAGCACATTTTTTTTAATTCTTTAAAAATGCGCTTAAAAAATAAAAAAAAAAAGATTTCAAAGAAACCTTTTATAAAACAATTCAAGAGTATTTGGAATTAAAGGCACAACGAAGATTCAAGAAAATTATTAAATTTCGGGAATATAAATTGCGTAAAGATCTTCGATATTTTAAAATGGTACATCAAGAGATAAAGAGTGCAAAAAAGAAGGAGAAGTGTTACTGGAATTACTAAAAAAAGAGCGGTTGGAGAATGTTAAATGGCAATATGAAGAGGGATAGGGATGGGCAATTCACATACACGGGAGGAAGAAGGAGGTCGGTAATTGATCACACATTAGTAAAATACTGTAAGAAATTGAAGAATATTTGATAGAAACAAGGATTACCAACCGATGGAATGACTCTAAAAGGGAAGATAAGAAAATCAAGAAATGAAAAGATGCAGTTATGGACAAGAGACACTGTGAAGCTGTATAGACGGAGACTGGAGGAACAAGGAGAAGAAACAAGAGGGAATACATAGGAGTGGAATCATATAGAGAAGAGCATTAACAAAGCAATCTCATGGAAACAAATAATTGAAGGAGAGGGGACACAAAGAATGGAGAGAAGAGAGAAATAAATATAGAGGAAAAAGAGGTGAGAAAATAGAAATAAAAGTCAAAAGAGAATGTAAAGAAAAAATATAGAGAATCGAAAAGGATATTTGGAAAGTGATAAACAGAAGAAAAAAGAAAATTAGAACAAGTGAGAGGGAAATACAATCAGCGGAATGGTCAATTTGCTACAAGGAACGCAGGAGAGAAGGAGACTATGGAGGAGGTAGGAAGAGAGGAGGTTGAAGGAGATGAGATAACAAGAGAGAAGAATTAAAAAGACTGGGAAAGAACGGGAAAGCGGTGGGGAGAGATGAGACAGGTAGTGAGGCTTGAATTTTCGCCACAGATAAGATCAAGGAAAGTATGAGAAATCTAATAGGTAAATAAGATATGGAATAGAGGGGGATTACCTGAAGAAGAGAAAGAAGGGGTTATTGTACCGATCTTGAAAAGAGGGAAAAAGATTGTTTGGGAAATTATAAGGGAATAACGAATAACTATAATGACTACGGCAGGAAAAGGGAGATTGAATGGAAATGGAGGGAGAAAAGAATAGACGTAAAACAAGTATAAATTGTGCACAACTCTTGTGCAGATATAGCGCATTTTTTTTTACCGAAATAGCTTTTGTTTTGACATCACCAATGGATATATTTCTTGCAGACGTCTCAATCGTCCTTTGTGAGTACCCTCTTTCGACAATCCGTTCTTGAGGTATAAGGAAATATACCCGATCACCATAAGAGGTTGAGGAGAAGGGCTATGGTTGGTAGAAATTAATTCCATTCGTTGAGACCTTTCATTAGAGTACCATGAAGGATAAAACTAGTTCCACAAAACGCAAACAATAGCACATTTTTTTATTCTTAAAAAATGCGTTAAAAATTAAATATTTAGGTTATCAAACCTACAGAAACAATAGAGCGTAGATAGAACAATTAAGAAACAACGAGGGTGGATTGCAATGCAACCACCCCCTTTCTTAATTAAGATAGATGCGGAGAATTTTAGAGAGGGGGTTCAAAAATGATTTTAGCACCAGAAACGCGACGAGTGCTAATGTACTGGGTGGAAAGAATGGGAGGAACTGGAAAAAGGACACAGAAGATATTATAAATCGGCATTTAAACGGAAGGACAACAAAATTAGAGGAAGAAACTGAAATGGAAATGATAAGGATAGCGTCGGGGCGCACGGCGGTAAGATTCGAGGAAAAGAGAAAGCGAATTTGTCAAAGAATGTTTCACAACGAAGATGAACGCAAAAGGAATGTAGGAAGAACAAAGAGGAAAATATTACGTAAGACATGGGTACCAACAAACAGGGAGTGATCAACTGGACATAGAGAGCGCACGCGGAAGTAGGAGTTATAAAGAGCTAATAAGAGAGTGGTTACCAGAATAATTCTGTAATGGAAGAAAAAATATTAAAACAATAACGAGATTCAGATGCGGAAATGAAAGTGGGAAAGAAAAATGGAGACCAGAAGAAGAAAAAGAAATGAGGTAGATTTTAAAGAAAAGAAAAATGTGTTTTCACTAGTTTAATCACATCGTACTATTTAAAAATACTGAAATCGATACAGTGTGATTGAAAAAATGGGCACATTTCCACAGTCAAATACCCCATTATGGAAATACTTTCTACCAATTTTTCGCGTGCATCATTCCCGTAAATTCAAGATTCTAAACGCCAATATTAACCGAGATACAACAATTTCTATTAGGAGTTACACAACTTAATTCCTATGTACGAACATTTTCAATCGAATTCAATTTCACATAGCTAATTGTGCTCGCTTTGTGCCTATGTGTAAATCGTGCTTTTGGAAGAGTGTCCAAAAATGGTATGTGTAGAGAAAAAAACGTTTCCCACAAAAAAGAATATTCAGTAAAAAGTATAGCTCTCTATTTGAATATGTGGATAGCATCATTAAATTGTGCTCCCGCTAGTTTCCGTGATAATCGACTGTGTCAAGGTAAATGGCACACCCTGTATATAATTGATTAATTGGTCACATTCAAATATACGATTACTCACAAAAGACATGACCCTACACCCCAATTCCTATCGCTTATGCAGGTGCAGTTAAACCCCAATAAATCATCCTCTGAAACTCATATCTCTTCTAATGCTTGCTTGAAAAGTGTCTTTGTTAGACTCGGCCAAAAACGAAATTTACCCTTTATTAAATGTATTTATCACAAACTAGTAATAGAACATACAGTAATAATAACAATTAAAACAATAATGAATAGCGAAAAAACGAAAAAATTGGTATGCCAACTCTAGCAGCGAATGCTAAAGCAGAATGCCATTTTTTGAGACTTCTTCTAAGACATGCTGCTTGCTCTCACAATAGCACATCCAATTATTCTTCGCGACCAATTCATGATGGTACTATTGTATTTAATGAAATTTCCAAAAAACGGCGATCGCCACCTAGCTTGACCTAGGCAGCTAAAATTGGACAATTAGTTTGAAAAACGAAGACAGATAAAGCAATGTCTTTCATTTAAGGAAATGAGATAAAAATGAATGATAGAAAGAACGAAAACATTGTTTTTGCAAATAAACCAAGGGTAGACTATGATGCACTTTGCGAGCTAAGCTCACAGAGTTGGTTAGTAAATGAATAAAATTGTGCCCGTTTTAAATTTTTACAGACCGAAATGGGTTCAATGTCGGTTTGCTAGGGGTAAATATGTACACTTGAAGTTAAAAAAAAATATTAATGTCAAAGTTATTTGCAAATCCTATCACAGTTGGTCTAACCTCAATTCACTTTTAGGAATATTTTGAAAAGTTGCCTTTGATTAGGAACGACCCTAGGCCCACACAGTGACAGAACTAAAAATTATTTTTTCCAACACTAACTACCTTGAATAATTGGAGCGCGTGTTATCAGCAATTGCAAATATCACATTGTCACAGACACGTTATATATTCTATGCCCTTTCAATTCGGTTACCAAAACAATGTTCCGATTACTCGTAATAATTGCAATTGCAACCCGAATGGGAGGCGGCGAAAGATTTCGCCTGCCCAAAATTATAAAACCCACCCGCTATTATTTGACAATGGACCCAAATTTCTCGGCAGCAACGCATACGTTTTCCGGCAGTGTGGTCATACAGTTCCAAGCTGTATCATCGACCACAACTATAACTCTGCACTCAAAAGACCTCAAAATTGCTACTTCAGCCATAAATTTGGTAAGTGCTGCCGGTACACCGGTAAGAGTTTCGCGCACTTCCAGCAATACGGATTTGGAGACCTTCACAATCCATCTGAGGCAACCTTTGGCAACCTCCGAGCAGTACAATTTGACCATCTCCAGGTTCAACGGCGTGCTGGGTACGAGTGATGGTTTCTTCTTCGATCGAGTACCAACAACTGAGGGTGAAAGGTGAGAATTGAATTGTCTACTTTAACCTATCATCGCGATTTCAGTTTAATGGCCGGAACCCACTTTCAGTCGAAAGGGGCGCGTAAAGCCTTCCCTTGCTTCGATGAGCCTTCGTTCAAGGCCACTTTCGTAGTTAGTATAATCAGGCTACCTAAATTTTTCTCCTTGGCGAATCAAGAACTTGATTACACAGAGTAAGTGCAGTCCTCAACGACAAACAGTAACGTTGTGCCTACGACAGGAAACTACGCGATGGTCGATTCAAAGACGTTTACAAGGAAACGCCTCAGATGTCAACGTATCTTGTTGCATTTAGCGTTTTGAACTTCAAATCTACAGCGGCTCTTGAGAGACATCGAGTTTATGCCACCCCTGACGTCATTAACCACGTTTCGGTTCCACTACAACTATCAGTGGCAATGCTAAAATCGCTGGAACAGTACACTGGTATAGGATATCAGCTGCCTAAGCTGGACCACTTGGTGGTACCAAACCCATTCATCATCGACAACGCCATGGAAAACTGGGGGCTAATACTTTATCGGTGAGTGACTTGCTCATCATCCAAGATCACCAGTAGAATCTTCTAGAGAAAGAAACTTTAAGTACACACCAACGGCAGTGAAAGACATAAAGCGGGTAGTCACATTTATGGCCCACGAATTCTCGCACCAATGGTTTGGTAACCTGGTAACACCCGAGTTTTGGGATTACATCTGGATGAGTGAGTCGTTCGCGACATACTTCCAATATTACACTGCATCTCAGGTTAGTTGCCCCATCCCCCTGGTACCTAAATCAATGTTCACGATCAGATCCAACCAACTTGGAGACTTATGGACCAATTCAACATTGACATTCTACACCAGGGTTTCCTGGACGAAGAGCAAAAAGGTGCCCACCCTCTCACCTACGAAGTACAAAACGACCAACGGTTTCCTCCCTTTCACGTGATGTACGAAAAAGGTAAATTACGCCAATTTACTTTCAAATGAATGCAAAATTATCTTAGGTGCATCAATTGTGCGTATGATGGTTCACTTCCTCTCTCATTCAGTGTTTCAAAGCGCAGTACGTCGGTTTTTGAGTAAATGGTACCTAGCTATGTTCAGCAAGAGGGCGATTACATTGATTCTTTCTAGGCAATTCCAAAACGTAATTCCCAGCGATCTCTACGAAACCTTCCAGGAAGAAATCAATAGTTCCGTGCAAAAAGAATTTTTAGGCGACTTAAACTTTGGGGACATCATGAGCGGCTGGGAGAAGAATAGAGGATATCCCATCGTAACAGTTACCAGGAATTACGTCACTGGTTTTGTTACCCTAAAACAAGTACGTTGAGGTTTTGTCAGTTGGAAGGTTATTATGGAAATGTTGCAGCATTCGCCTTTTGAAAACGGCACACTGTGGAGTATTCCAATAAACTACGCGTACTCCTTCCAACCGAACTACGAAAGCACTACTGCAAACTTTTGGTTAAGTAAAGAGCATGATATTATCTACGAGAATGTTACAGCGGAGGGGTGGTTGTTGATAAATAAGCAGCAAACGGGGCGATTCCGTGTTAACTACGATATGGAGAACTGGAAGCGTATCATGGCAGTACTCCAAAGTGACGACTACGAGCGCGTCCACGTCTTAAATAGAGCCCAACTGATCAACGATGCGTTTTACTTGGCCTCTAAGAAAATAATACCGGTCTCATTGCCTCTGACAATGGGCGAGTATCTCGTGCGCGAAAGGGATTACATACCATTCGCCGCATTCTGTAACTCTTTAGCAAACTACGTTTACACTTACAATGGAAACAGTGATCCTGATGAGACAAAATTCTTCTTAAATCACCGGTTCAAAGACCAAGTAACGCCTCCAAAGCCAAACGACTACACCCAGGAGTACAAAATCTTTCGGGTAGGTACGCTAAAGGTAATTCTGGGATGCATTTATAAAGACCATTTATAGGAGTATATCCGGTACATCACAGCCAACATCAGAGCAATACTTGGTAGTCAGGAAAAACCTACCGACAGCTTCGTCGATAAGTTGCTTAGAATCGACATTGATAGGTTCTTCCCATTCTTCTTCCTAGATTAATGATGAACTCCGAATAAAGTGACACTAATATAATTTACTTTTTCGCAGATTTTGCGATATTTTTAGATAGATTGTAGGAGTTTTTCCAACATAATTTTAGGATATCGGAAAACATTTTCGCTTACCCGCACTTTAGTTAGGAATTGCATTGGAGTAAAAGATGACCCCCTCCCCCCCACACAACCTTTTTGAGCCCCCCCCACAACCTTTTGAGGGAAATACACGTTTTGAAGCACTAGGAATTCGAATCAAACAAAATCTCGATGATTTCTGACTATACGCCAAACCGATTGGAACCAAATTTGGTACACATATTTTGAGACATAAAAGAAAGAGCTGAAAAGTTTTTGGGAAGAACGCGCATGCGCAAGCGTAAGGTGGTAACCACGGCAAATTTTTATTACAACATTTTAAGGTGGTACCAAAAAGACTTGAAAATGATTTAGAAGGGCGCCAAGTAAACATTTTCGCAAATTTTGAGACAAATATTTTCAAAGACCCCTGATACTGTGGAAATTTCAATTAAGTACAATGTAAACGGCTCTAAAAGATCTATTTAGCTTCGAAGAGGTTCCCATCCCCCTCTCCCTCCCCCATTAAATTGGGAAAAGTTCCAAGAGGGGGGGGGGTCGCTTTCCTCGTCCTCGTCTTCCTTTTGCTGTTGGGTTCATCTTCTTTTTTCCTTTTCCCGTATTTCTATGTTCTATATTTCTTCTCCATCTAGTTCTCTCTCTTCCTTTTTCATCTCAACGCCTCTCTTTATTCTCAGATCAGATCCTCTCTATTCTGCCCTTTTTCGTAGCATAATCTGTATTCCCTTTATTATTCTCTCTCCATCCATCTTATTTCGCTCAATTGTTACAATTGTAGATTTCCTTTGTAATATTTCTTTACTTTCCACCATCCCCTTATTGTTCATCGTTATCAACAGGCATTTCTGCAGCAGTTCGCTTTCTCTCCCTTTTCTGTTGGTATCATACTATCCTGCGCCTGGTCAGTGGTATTCTTATTTTCTCCATGTTTGCGTTTACTTTCACCACGTAATTTGATGTGCCTCTTGTATAATACCTTCTTTGTATACTTTTCAGCTCCTCCCATTCCTTTCATTCCCAGTTCTCTGTTCCATACCTCAATCGGCCTTTTATTTTTTTTATTTATTTCTTACTTTTATTATTTATTTTGAAGTGGGCAGGTTTTTACCTAAAGCAGACTTTCTCAAATCTCATTATCTTCAATTTTTACATTCAGTTTTATTCCCTCCCTTAGCCCCTTTCCATTATTTCCTATATCTGTTTTTCATTTGTTGCCTAAATCACTGTATCGACTCCGTATGTCAGGAACCATATCTTTTTTCTTCCTACTACAGTTTCTTTAGTCCTTTCTGTCCAAAGTACATCTGACTCCTTCTCTCCTACCAGACATCTCATTCCTTCGTATAACTGTAACAACATTTAATCTGTTTCTTAATTTATTGTCTCTCTTTCCTACTTCAATCATTTTCTATATTCTGGCCTGTTAAACGCCGCCTTTAAGTCAATAAAGAATGCTATCGTATTTTCTTCTTTTATTCTAGTACCAGCCTCACACCACAGCGTATATTCTGCTCGCTGTCGTCATAATCGTAAGTCCGTAGCCTTCCTTCTCCATTTCCCCTTATTCTTAATATGACGTATCCCGATTTCTCATTTTTCAGGCCATCCTCTTCTTCCTCGATCTCCTGTTCTTCGCCCCTATCTCCCGCTATCCGTCTATTATTATCTTCCTTTTGTATAACCTTGACAAAGTGCTTCTTCTAATCCCCTACATCTATTTCTCCACATTTTACTACATTCCTCGTTTATCAGCTTCCCAAAAATCTTTCTCAGTGTTCTCAGATTCTTCGACTTCCCATTCGGCTAGCTTTCTTCTGTTCACATTTTCTCCTGTTGAAGTGCTTGTTCATATTTTCCTATTTCCGTACTGTAGCGAATATTCCAGAAATCCCGATAGATATCGAGGCACCAGAAATCTTTCGAAAACATTCGAGATCACTCGAAAACACTCGAGTTTGCTATATAAGCAGTTATTTGTCTATTGATGTTCTGTCTGTTTACCATTGGCCATCAATAGCCATTCTCCTAATTCTAGGGTGCAGATCTCCCCTCAATACAATACCCTCCACTTTTCTCTCTTTTATCATACAGCATTTTTTTTCATCATCTTTCTTAACTTCTCTGGTATAGATCGTTATCACTGTCATCCTTTTTCCTACCACTACCACCTTTTTCTTCCGCATACTTTCCTCGCCTATTATTTTAAATCTTTCTTCAGTAATCGATGTTTGACCCCCCCCCCCCCCCGAATTTGTTCCTCTATTACACTTTTTTCGCATCTTTAAGTGCATTTTTTAGAAAGTAAAAACGTGCAATTGTTTGCGTTTTGGCCATCCGTCGGTTCGGCTGTCTGCGGTTTTGAATTACCTTTAGAAAGGTGAATAGGTGAACGTGTGCTAGCCAGCCACCAAATCTCGAGATCAGTGCGCGACGGGGCCTAAGGGGGGGGGGGGAGTAAAATTAATTTTATCTCTCATTGTATTCTAATTAAAGGTCTCTACGAAAGGAACCGTTTTCTACCAACTACTGCTCTTCTTTCTGTCCTCTTACCAAAGCACGGGGCGGAGGGGAAGGGTGGGTGGAACTAGTCTTATCCTTCATAGTCCATGTCAAAACAAACGCTATTTCGGTTAAAAAACGCTTTATCTGCACAGGATTATGCACAATTTATACTTGTTATTGAATTTATCCGTTATTAGATCGCAACTCTGTATATGAAGTAGTATCAATTTTCTTACAATCCCCGAATTCTTCTCCCTTCGAGGCGGGAAATCACCACGTAGAGCTCGACGTAGAGTGACTAATCTATTCAAACGAATTTGAAGATTTCCAAACAGTTTTTTTCGAAAGATCAAAATTTCCCTTATTTTTGTCCATCTGCCTGTTCCTCGTTTAACTCGAGAACGAAAAGAGACAGCGATGTCAAACCTTCGCCAATCGATTTCTACAAGTTCAAGGATCAGTGCTATTGAATATGAGCCGGATCAAAAGTTTGGTTTCCGAATACAAGTGACAAAATCTTGTTTTACGTATCTTCATAAAAGGAGTTCCTCTTGGAGACCGATGTTTATATGCTCATTTATTTTATAGAGACCATCCTATAGGAACAATTTTTGTCGCCTGAAAGACCAGCAGGCACATGTCGGATATATCACACATACTTTAAAGATTTAGGTCGCTTGCAGGGTCCTTTTTATCGTCCACGGGACCCAAAAATATTTAAGAGAAATTTTCATCACACAACCAAAACTTAACTTGATCAAAAACAACTTCTCTTCAGCACTATTCAAAAAAAAATAATTAAGGTCGCCTTGGGCTAGGTTCCCAAGATACGCCCTTACCCCGGGGGCAGTTGCCCCTGCTCACCTTCCATATCAGCGAACGAATTGGAAACGCTTCCTTGAAGCAGAAAAGCAACCAACGGGGAGGGGTTGAAAAATACCCTTTTATCGTATCATTAAAACGACCATACTATCACAATCTATAATTTTCGTGCCTGGGGTCATTTCCCCCCACTTCGATAGACCTATTCATAATAGATTCACCAAGTCCCTACTATCCATTTCTTTTTGAAAGCAAAAAGCTTCCGTCAATTTACTGAACAAATTCTCCTTGCAACGTAATTAATTTGCGCAAATATCACCTTTTACAACCAGAACAAACACGGCATGTGACAGCGTAAATAAATTAAACCGGCCATCATCGCGTTCATAAAAAAACGGTACCAGTTTTTCAAACGAAGTATACATTCCGTTAACGGTAATAATAAAGAAAACTCGTCCAATCAGTCTGGTTAAGTGAAAGTGCACACTTTCATCCCATTTCAGGCAAATATTAGACTAACTATTTTAGTCTAACCTACATTTTATTCAAAAACTCACGGTTATAAAAGAAATGCTAATGAATGTACATTATTTACCTAAATTTAAAACAAGTTCACGTTCTAGAACGACGACTTTCGTACCGTTTGCTCAAGACAAAGTCTTAATGCCATACACGAATCTTTTTTTTCCTTGAAATGAGGAAGACTTTATGCAAGGAAACGTTTCTTGAGCTTCAGGTAGTACGCATCCCCCAAACACAAATCATCCATCATCAACCATTTTTTATCTGTTGGTGTTATAATATGCAAGTTTGCTAAAAATAGAATGATTAGTTTCTGAGAGACGTTAACTAGAGCCAGATGCGAGGGATTAAGAAATTCGAACTGGAAGAAAAAGGCGGCTTCATTAACATTTCTAATTACTGGAGAGTGTGTTTAGTGTCTTGGATTTAATTGATATTTATGTTCAGAAACTGTTAACTGAATCGTATTTCTTTCAGACGACGTGTTTAATTGTTTAAATGTTTGGCGGGCTAAATAAATACCTTCATTGTGTAAATTGGTCGATAATGAAGATTGGAGGGAAGGAAAATGACCGAGGGTTACCTAAGTAGGTGCTTTTGATGCGAGCTCACGTTCAGAAAACTTAACGTATCGCCACGAAACACACATACGCAGTTTGTTTAATTTTCAGCAGTTTTGTTATCGTCATGGTGAAAGCTTTCTAATTCTGCCGTTTCGGTCGGATAAAATTTTTACGGAACTCGCAAGTCGCAAGGATCATAATTTGGTTCTGAAGAAAGTAGCTTCATAATGACAGTTTGCACGCGAATCTGTATAAGTCATTCGTGTAAGGGATATAATTCTATTGTTAGTGGTTCTTTTAATTTCTATATTTTTATTTGGTCTTATTAAAACGTGCAATCCAATCTAAAATTCGAAACCTAAATTTATCTTCATCGCAAATCCAACTATGCAGATCGCTAGAAATTTTTGTGAATTTGGTATACAATTATCCGTTAAGTGACACATTAAATAATTTAACAAGATATGAAAAATCGCATACGATGTGAAATCTTATCCGT